TAAAGCGATAGGCCCCCCCCAAAGCAATTTTTTACTTAGCTGTTTACTAATAATTTAGGTAGCTGCTCATATGAAGCTTCGTGTGAGTGTGGTGCAGCAGAAGGCCAAATGCATCAGTATCCTCCTACCCCAAAACCCTAAGCCCTATAAACTCTAAGCCAGTCTCAGTGATTTTCTTGACTAAGCCATACAGTCTCTTGCGTTCTGGCCGCTCAGGGCTACAGTTGCAGCTACCGTCGCTAGATGTAGTTAGATTGCTGAGGGCAGTCATCAGTGGTAGCTTGCAGTTTGGGTAATGGGCATTTTGAGTTTTTGGCTGCCCTTGGCTGCTTCACTGGGATCCCGGAACGAACCGTGCCTGCTTGAATGAAATGCGCGTGCCTAAACCTAGCAAAAAAAGGGAACAAACAGCACACAGCATCCTCTTGGTATGTCTCAATAATTGAAAATCAAATGGAAAAAGAGAATGGAAAATTGCATGGAAACTACTATAGTATCGAGGGCTTATATGGATAATGTTGGAGTTATACTGTAACAGGAATAACTTAATGTAACATCAGCAGCTCTGTTGAGTCATGAATCCCCAGCTGCCCCTGAAAGAGCCCAAGTTTTCCCCCCCCTTACGATACACCCCTCCGCAACCCCTGCTAAGACATACCTCCCAGATGCTAGAATGGTATTGTATTGGGGGATTTATGTTAAGGAGGTGTGGGGGAGTCCCTAGACCTACCGGTGTTTATTATGCAAAAAGGCAATATAATCCTTATACAATCCCTGTAGAATATAGTCCATTATTCCCTACGAACCCTCAACCCCAAACCCTATACTACATTCCCTGATTCCCTACTAAGATAACCCTACGCCCGAATCCCCTATATAATCCCCTATATACCCCCTATGTAACCCCGTATAATCACCTATATATCCTTGTATTAACTAATGGGGAGGGATGACTTGGTTCCGAGCCCCGGGGAGAGACCAGTGATACTTGAGGAATGTTTGAGCGAGGATTCGAAAACTATGTCTTTGAGGGTTTAGGGTTGAAGGTTGGGGCTTGGGTTGAGGGTAGTTTCCCCCCATCAAAGCCTTACATAGCCCTTATGTAAGGGTACCCACCTGGTAACTACCCACCTGAACAATCCTCACCGCCAGGGCGAGTAGGGAATCAAGGTAGGGAAAAGCCCAAGTGAGAACCAGGCAATGTCCTAAATTCTTAGGAATGCTGTTATCGATATTAGATGACGGATAAGACTTGTATTTCATAGAAGACACGCACCTAGGCAGGAACCCAGATGTCAGAACAAGTAGATCAAGACCAACGAGCCTGTTTCACTATGCACTGACTATGCAGAGCTGCCCCCAACCCACACAACTGTAAGCCTTCCGGCATCACAGCAGCTTTGAGCCAATGACAAACTGGGAGCTTTGGTAAGATAAGATTCATGACAATGAGGGTAGAAGACATCTCCCGCTTAAACCTGTCCCGTAGCTTCTTGAAGCCATGGCAGACACTGTCGATTTGCTGCCTGCCGACGCACCCGTCGGCCATATTGCCCACAAAAGGGTCAGGTCCCATTGAGGGTATGTTCAACATAGCCCGTACATAAGCCCTGACAGGGTCCCCCCATGATTCACCTACAATCCTGGACCATTTCTTGAGATCATCTGGTAGCTCCCTAAGCAGTGGCTGGGTTGGCGATGGTAGCGGTCATTGAGGCTGTTGCTGTCATCGACCAAAATTGAACAATCACCCCTCCACAAGTAAGTACTTGCTGCTTGTTGTTCACTTGGGGCTTCATGATCCTGATCCTATTGTTTTGGTCCATGCAGAATCTTGGGGCATCTGAGCCCTTTCGAGGGGCATCCCCAGAACCAAGTCTTGGACAGAGTGGAGAAGGGTAGATCTTTTGAGTGGCCTGTTGAGTTGCACTCATTCTGAAGAGAGAGTAGGGAAGAGTTTCTCAACTAATGCGGGTTGGTTGGAAACAGACCTGGCGTACAGCCAGAAAGCTAGCCTCGAGCTGCCGCTCTTCTTGTAGACTTTTAGGGACAGTGTTTTCCAAGACTGTAGAGGCAATGCAGCATAAACAGTGTTCACAGGGGCGGTGCTCCTGACAGGTTCGACGAAAAAGATGGTCGGAGCCGAGCATGCTTCCGTTTCAAGGGACAGCACTTCCAGACCTGTGTGGCAAAAGCTGGTACGCGCCATGCAGCCGAGGCGCTGGGTGAAAGCACAGCGAATGACCATGAATTATCGTCGTTGCTGTTAATTGCGGTCATCCTTGTCACCAGCACCGCCAACGCCAACACCGCCGGCACCACCTCCACCGCCGCCACCCCGCCGCCGCTGCTGCCGCCCGCTCTATTCTCGCCGCTGCCCACCACCACCACCGCCACCAGGACGAGACTTGCCAGTGCCGCGTGAAGTTGCATTGCGGAGCTGCTTGCTAGGTGATCGCCCGTGCATCTGCGTCAGCACTTGGAGCTGTTACTTGTATAAGCGTACACTCCTCAACATGGCAGACCTCCGCCAATGAAGTAAGAATTTTTTTGTTTCCTAACTATCCCAGGCATGCTGGATGCGGTTTGAGGACGGCCAGGACAAGCATGCCGTCACAGTCTTCCGCGATCAATGCTATGCAAAGGTGAGGGTGCAAGCCCCGGAGGCGAAGCGCGCAAGAACTTCCAGGCTGCATGTGTTTCAGTGCTTACGTTTGGAGGGAAGGATTTGGAGATCTGGGGAGGGCAAGTGTCTTCCTGCCCCTGCAGGCCCAACGACAATAGGGAAGTCATGCACCTGGACAAGTTGAGATACAAGCTTGGCCTGTCCATGGACGCGACCTCTGCTGATCCTTATGACTCTATGCAGAGCGAAGAGCTTCACAGCATGCTTCGCAGGGTGTCTGCAAGAAAGCCATTCTGAGCAGTCTTTCTCACCAGCCGTGAAGGCGTTTCACACTTCAGCTGCAAAGTGCGGTCTACGAAGGACAGTGTTAGGAAGATCGGCTTAAGCTTAGAGATCAGATCGGCATCATGCCAACCTGGTTCTAGTATTCCAGCCATTCCTGCGTCGGTTTTGATCCTGACAAGGGGTCATCTTGCATCGCAGTTTCGAGAGGCTGCGTTATGCCTAGCTCGTCGGGCAATAGCTCGGCGGTCTTTACGCAAAAGCGCTCAGCTGCAGTTGCAAATGTGGAGCGATGGGATCTGATCGCACATGTTCCGGGCGCACTGTGATATTTTACTGATAATAGTGATATGAGGGGACCGGGGGGGGGGGGGGGGGGGNNTGGGGGGGGGGGGGGGAGGCGTCCAAAATTTAGATTCCCAAGCAGAGGAGCATGGATCGGATGTATGAGGAGGACCCTCATGCATTTATGCACACAAATGAACACTTCTTCTCTGCTTAGATGGGTGGGCAGGCCCCATGTTTCGTCGCTTGACCTTGCTTCTTGAGATGCAAGGTTGGGTCTCATGTTTCCAAAGCGTTCTGCATCGTGCCATTAGTCATCAAGGTCCCAGAAGAAAGATGCCGGCATTTGGATAGAATATTGTTCAAAGTCTCTTTCAAACAAAAGCAGCAACCACAAGGTCACCCTGGCGGAGTTGGTCAGCCTCAGTGACACAGAGCTGGAAAGCCGGCTCAAAGCATCGTCCTTAGGCATATCGTGAAAGCCGTAAAGATACCCAATATTGTAGTTCTGGGTTCCTCATATACAGTATAGGGTACCTCAAATAGACCTTGAAAGAATATTGGTGCTTATGAGGCTCTTGGATTAGACGGTGTTCAAGGTTTGCCGTTGCATCGCCACCGCCTCCGCTACAAAGAGTCTTCGTGTTATTCCCTTTTATTGCCCCGACCTAACCCTGGCCGATTACCATGCGAGAGCCACACTCATCATCACAGGTCGTGCAGCTTTATGAAAAGTAGCTTTCTCACTTTGGCGCGAATACGTGCGCGTTTTGCATGAGATCGCCAAGCACTACAAGGGGCCAGCAAAGCTGTTCTAACAAGCACCATTGGACCGAAAAGCTTCAGATTTTTAATCGTTACTTATGAAAAGTGATGAGGGCATCGTATCGCAAATATGGCTGTCCATCTGGCAAGACCGCAAATAAGGACATAGGGCATGCCAGGAGGGGAGTCAAGCAGAGAGTATGGGCCAGGTTCTTAAACCCTAGACCCTAGGTTCAGTCATGCAGGATTGAAGCAAGAAGAGTAGTTTGCTTGAAAGCGGGATGGCCCGGCATCTGATTTGCTCTGGTCTCTGTGAATTGTCACTGGCAAAGTCTGCCTCTAACACCTATAACCGCCTATAACCCTGGGATTTTTATCCTTCCCTTTTATCAAGTCCTTGAAGGGGCTTAAGGGGCTATTATAACTCCTAGTACTTCTTGTAGTAACTGTGACTAAAGGGGCTTGTGTCCGGCAGTACGGACGCTTCATCAGGAAGTACTTGGTAGACCATATAGAATATAGAGTACAAGAGAAATGGGGGGACATAATACATTATACATATATATATATATGCACATATTATGTCATAGCCTAGTTCACGTGGCTAAACGCATCTTAGACGTTCCGGAGAAGCTGAGGCCACCAAAGCTAATGCGGAGTCCAAAGAGGCCACGTGTTACAGTGCTGTTTGGGCATTGATACGCGGCGCAGGCTTTGCGTGATCTGAGCTCTGTGAACGATCTTTCTGGCAGAATGTAGCCTGTTTGAGCAGCTGGAACGTATGTGATGGCTGGCTATGCATGGTTTCGTAGAGGCCTCGTCGAAACAGAGAGCTGCAGAAAGCCAGGAAGCAGATGCGCAGTTTGCGCCGATGCCAGCAGCCACAGCGAACCCGGCCAAAGAAGCTGAGCACGCTGCTGCTTGACTGCAATGAAGGCAATTGAACCTGTCGGCTTCACGATTCTGGTGCAGCCAAGGATGAAGTTTCTTCCAGCAAGAAGACCGAGCCAGTAACGTCAGCAGTGGAGTCTTCTCAGGACCCGCGACAACGCTCCTACAGCTTGGGCATGTGAAGCAATTGCTTCCAATGTTGTTCTTGGTTTCAGGACGAGACGGCATCCAAGCAGAAGGAAAAACAGGCAGCAGAATCTCAGGAGGCAAAGGCGCAGGTTCCACCAAAGCCAGCAGCCAAAGAAACCCCGGCCAAAGAAGCTGAGCACGCCGCTGCTTGACTGCATGGAAGGCGATGGAAACCCAAAACGTGTCAGGCATGCCAACAGACATCCACAGTCCACGGTTGGCTTCACGATTCTGGTGTCGCCAAGGATGAAGTTTCTTCCAGCAAGAAGACCGAGCCAGAAACGTCAGCAGCGGAATCTTCTCAGGACCCTCGACAACGCTCCTACAGCTTGGGCACGTGAAGCATTGATTTCCAATGTTGCTTCTGGTTTCAGGAGGAGACCGCGCCCAACCAGAAGGCTGCAAAAAGTCAGGAGGCAAAGGCGAAGGTTCCGCCGATGCCAGCAACGGCACAGGTTCCATCAATGCCAGCAGCCAAAGCAAGCCCGGCCAAAGAAGCTGAGCCTGCTGCTGCTGCTTGACTGCAGTGAAGGCAGTTGAACCTCAAAACGTGTCCCGCATGCTCACAGAAATCCACAGTCCACGGTCGGCTTCACGATTCCGCTGCAGCCGAGGATGAAGTATCTTCCAGCAAGAAGACCGAGCCAGTAACGTCAGCAGTGGAATCTTCTCAGGACGCGCGACAACGCTCCTACAGCTTGGGCATGTGAAGCAATTGCTTCCAATGTTGTTCTTGGTTTCAGGACGAGACGACATCCAAGCAGAAGGCAGCAGAAAGTCAGGAGGCAAAGGCGCAGGTTCCGCCGATGCCAGCAGCGAAAGCCAACCCGGCCAAAGAAGCTGAGCACGCCGCTGCTTGACTGCATGGAAGGCGATGGAAACCCAAAACGTGTCAGGCATGCCCACAGACATCCACAGTCCACGGTCGGCTTCACGATTCTGCTGCAGCCAAGGATGAAGTATCTTCCAGCAAGAAGACCGAGCCAGTAACGTCGCCAGTGGAATCTTCTCAGGACCCTCGACAACGCTCATACTCATACAAAAGGATGAGGTATCTTTACAGCAGGGTACCTTTAGAGATGTTTAGCAGCATGCAATAAATCACAAAAATATTCATGGGTACATACTACAGTGGAGACCTTCAAACCCCAAACCTGAGTAAGTCAATGAAATCCAACAGAGAAACAACAAAAGGCAGTGCCCCAGAGTCCCCCAAACCTGTGGCCCCAAAAGCCAAAACTAAACACCTTGACCTTCCACAAATTGTCTAAAATTGTACAAAAGCAGGAGAATGTGCAAAAACAAATAGAAAGATGCAATGCAATTCAAAGAACAACAAATCAAAACAATTAAATTCAATAAAGTTCAAAAGTTCAAAAAGTTCAAAAATCAATCAAATTCAATAACATTCAAAAATCTTCAAAAATGTTCAAAATGTACAAAAAATGAAAGATTTCCAAAAATGCAACAAATTTCACAAATATACAGATAAAACAAAAATCAAAAATCAGAGAACAAAAAGCAACAGAAAACTGCGGACAAAATAAACCACAAAAAAGCAACAACTCCCAAGCACATATTTCAGCAGTCATTCTGTAATCCACATCACAACAAGCGCAGCATGTAGCCATGGCATGTTTTTGCATTAATCTGCATGTTTTCAGAACATTTCCCATGTTTCTGTGTTTTCAGGTATGTTTTCGCACTCTGCTCAGAAGCCACAAAAGCTCATGGACAAGAACCCTGTTCTGGTATAAGACATACCGCTTGGGCATGTGAAGCATTTGTTTCCAATGCTGTTTTTGATTTCAGGAAGAGACGGCGTCCAAGCAGAAGACTGCAGAAAGTCAGGAGGCACAGGCGCAGGTTCTGCCGATGCTAGCAGCGAAAGCAATCCCGGCCAAAGAAGCTGAGCACGCTGCTGCTTGACTGCATTGAAGACAATTGAACCTCAAAACGTGTCAGGCATGCCGACACACATCCACAGTCCACGGTCGGCTTCACGATTCTGGTGTCGCCAAGGATGAAGTTTCTTCCAGCAAGAAGACCGAGCCAGCAACGTCAGCAGTGGAATCTTCTCAGGACCCGCGAACACGCCCATACAACTTGGGCACGTGAAGCATTTGTTTCCAATGTTGCGTTTGATTTCAGGAGGAGACGGCGTCCAAGCAGAAGGCTGCAGAAAGTCAGGAAGCAGAGGCTCAGGTTCCGTCAACGCCAGCAACGGCACAGGTTCCGCCCATGCCAGCAGCCAAAGAAACCCCGGCCAAAGAAGCTGAGCACGCTGCTGCTTGGCTGCAGTGAAGGCAATTGAACTCCAAAACGTGTTAAGCACGCCCACAGACATCCACAGCCCACGGTCAGCTTCACGAGTCTGCAGCAGCCGAGGATGAAGTATCTTCCAGCAAGAAGACCGAGCCAGCAACGTCGGCAGTGGAATCTTGTCAGGACCCGCGACAACGCTCCTAGAGCTTCGGCATGTGAAGCAATTGCTTCCAATGTTGTTCTTGGTTTCAGGAAGAGACGTCGTCCAAGCAGAAGGCTGCAGAAAGTCAGGAGGCAAAGGTGCAGATTCCACCAAAGCCAGCAGCCAAAGCGAAGAAGAAGGCCTCCACAAACCATGACGGTTTGTTGCGCGTTTTCAGGGCCATAGCTTTTGGAGACTGATGCGCGACTTGCAGCGGCCAAGGAAAAAGGTTCTACTGGCAAGACGAAAACTACAAAGGCTGTGTCATCAGCAAAACCCAAGAGCTCTCCAAGAAAGTCCAAGGCACGGCAGTCAAAGAATCATGCTTCAGAAAGCTGCACTGCATCCAGACGTTTTGCGTGGATCATTGTTGTTTATAATGCCGTGTCGTTCGGGGAGGCCCCAGGCAAGGAAAAAC